AACAAAAGACCAGATATTTTACATGGAATTGCACTGATCTCCAAATTATTTTGAGCAATTTATTCTAGATAATAGCCTTTTAAAAACATTATAATAGATCAGCATGATTTCACTAGTGAAAAATTACTAAAAACGTATTCTTTTCCAGGAATACATTTTAAGCGGGCCAAATTAATTAATCATTTCCATAGCACTTAATTTGGTCTTATCTTAGCAAATAGAAAATTATTTGTTAAATTAAAATCTCATCACTGTTTTCCTTTTATTGCCTGAGGTGCCCCCAAGGTTCACATTTTGGTCCCTTTCTATTCGACATGAACGACATTGCTTCTTTTCTTAAAGATACTTTCTTCTATTTGCTGATTATTCAAGGTGACTGGCGATAAGTGTCAAAAATGTCAGGTGATTCTACTCACCATATACAACAAAAAACTTCTTATAAACCCCTGTCCAAATCTCAAAGCTAAAAAAGTAATTTAAGGTTTTGGGTTTTTTTTTCGACTTAGGTCCACTAAATTACTTATAAACTTCAGAATTACTGACTGTAGAAAAATCTGGATTGTGCCACCTGAAATAACGTTAAATTTTCTGTAAGAAAACTTATTTCTTTTGGACAGGGGTTTATAGGAAGTTTTTTGTTGCATATGGTGAGTAGAAACACCTTCTGAAATTTTCGACATATATCGCCAGTCACCTTGAATAATCAGCAAATAGAAGAAAGTATCTTTAAGAAAAGAAGCAATGTCGTTCATGTCGAATAGAAAGGGACCAAAATGTGAACCTTGGAGGCACCTCAGGCAATAAAAGGAAAACAGTGATGAGATTTTAATTTAACAAATAATTTTCTATTTGCTAAGATAGGACCAAATTAAAAGACTACTATGGAAATGATTAATTAATTTATTATTAATCAAAATCTTCAAGCCTCAAGTATCCTTCTGTATGTGTCACAAAATAATCATATTTATTCTTTGGTTACAGCTTCATAGTTATGTATTTAAATAATTCCATCCGCGTATTTTTTTGCTATACAGTGTGTCCTGGAAACGGAAGACATCCAACATGTCAAGTTGTACTAAAAAGTCCAGTCTGTTTCTTAATTGTACTCGAGATATTTCAGTTTTCAGGTTATTTCAAACTTTCACAACTTTATTTCATAATGTCCCTCGTTAATCCTACTGTAAATTTGATTATATCAAAGGAAAGAGCATTAAAAAATCCTAAGAGGATTTATTTGTTGTTTTGTTATACCTTTTGTTGCTCTTTTTCCGCTTAGTTCTTGTCTAAAGTTGAAGTAAGATTGTATTTGTTACGTAAATACCGACAGATATGGCTCTTAGAAAAAAGTTGACCCTGCTAATGAGCTTTGAAAATTTACTTAAACTCTCAATCGTCTGTTTGTAAAATAAATAAATTTGATTTTCGGTTACAAATGGTTTAAAAAACTGAAGACATTAATATTTTGAAAAATAAGCAAAAAACACACTTTGGTACGAGGTTGAACATAAGAAAAATGAAACAGCTTCTAAAAATTAAACTAATTGTTGAGAATCAAGCCCAAGAAGTTGGACATTTTGAACATTTAATTTAATTTGTGTTTTTTAGTGACCAAATGTTCAATAATTTGTTGAAGTCGTGAGGAGCGACTTGCAAGCACGGTTGAACTTTTTCCAAATCGAATTGAGATTATTTTTTTCAAATCAAATGAAGCTTTTTCCAATTAAGATCTAGCTGTTTTCAAAATTGAACTTTTCCCATATTAAACTGGACCTTTTCCTTCCCGAACTTGTCTCAAATCAAATTGAAATTTTCTTTGGCGAAACTTAAGTTTTTCCTATCTAAACTGAAATTTTTAATAGCGAATTTAACTTTTTCTTCTCCAAACTGTACTTTTCCAAATAAATTGAAAAATTTTCAAATCGTATTTAATGTTTTCCTAATAAAATTTAACCTTTTCCTTACCAAACTGTACTCTTCCCAAATCAAATGAAACTTCTTCAAATCATATTTAATTTTTTGTTGATCAAATTGAACTTTTTCCTACCCAAACTGAACTTTTCTTAACTAGACTGAACCTTAACCGAATCAAATTGAGCTTTTTCTAAACCAAATTGTGTTTTTTTTTTTCAAATAAACTAGAGCGTTTCCCAAATCTGATTGACGTGTTTCCAAAATTGAATTTTTCCTAAATTAAATTGTACTTTTCCGATCCAAACGAAACTTTTTTCAAACGCTTTGAAATTTTTCGAAATCAAATTGTGCTTTTTTCAAATCGAATGGAGCTTTTTTTCAAATCAGATTGAGGTGTTTCCAAAATGGAATTTTTTCTAAATTAGATTGTACTTTTTCCTACCCAAAAGGAACTTTTTTCAAACGCATTGAACTTTATCGAAATCAAATTGTGCTTTTTTCAAATCAGATTGAGGTGTTTCCAAAATTGAATTTTTCCTAAATTAAATTGCACTTTTCCTGTCCAAACGGAACTTTTTTTTCAAACGCATTGAACTTCTTCGAAATCAAATGGAACTTTTTTAAATCAGATTGAGGTGTTTTCAAGATGGAATTTTTTCTAAATTAGATTGTACTTTTTCCTACCCAAATGGAACTTTTTCCAAACGCATTGAAATTTTTCGAAATCAAATGGAGCTTTTTTAAATCAGATTGTGGTGGTTCCAAGATGGAATTTTTTCTAAATTAGATTGTACTTTTTCCTACCCAAATGGAACTTTTTTTCAAACGCATTGAACTCTTTCGAAATCAAAGTGTGCTTTTTTCAAATCCAAAGGAGCTTTTTCCAAATCAGCTTCAGGTGTTTCCAAAATTGAATTTTTCCTCATTTAAATTGTACTTGTTCCTACGCAAATGGAACTTTTTTCAAACGCATTGAACTTTTTCGAAATCAAAGTGTGCTTTTTTCAAATCAAACTGAACTTTTTCCTAGCCAAATTGAACATTTTTCAAATTTGTTAAGTCATGAGGTGCGGTGAAGAATGCAGTAGTTTAGAAAAATCATGGTCATCTTCAGGGCCTGAATGATTTATAAAACTTATGCTGATTGGGGAAAAAAAATAAAACAGATGTAAATATAAATTTTGAACCAAGTATTTGAGTGTGTAATACGATTACTTTTTTATATAATATTTAGGAACAATTTTTCAACTAAATTCAATAACTTGAACTAAACAATATTAACAGCCTGATCCATGTCAAAAAGACGAGAAAGACCAATCTATCGAACCTATTTCGTGATTTACAGCATCGTAATTAGCTTTTCGATAATTATATAGGTCAGTAGTATCTAAATACTGATAACATTTACCATGATCTCTGAGGAAAAGTGAAACATTCAGCGCGGGATGTAATACATCAATGGTATATATTATGTAATGATTTAGTTGTCTAGAAATACAGTTAAAATTATTACTTACTAATTCCAGTATTACTACTCATACCGTTCTGGAGGAATTGTGCTGAGAAAATCCAAATAAAGAGGGTAAATTCATTTAGGCAACTGTCAGTGATTGAACCACCGGAATAGATATTAAAATCTCCACGACAACCAAAAATTAAATATGTTTATTTTTTGTTGTTGAAGTTTCAAAATTAAAAAAAGAGTATTAAAATAAATTCATCAGAACCTGGGGGTATGTAAAAAAACCCAAAAGTGATCCAAATTCCAATAATTTCTACCGAAATCAAAATATCCCCAATAAAGTCATTGTCAGAAAGAAACTGGAATATTTTAATATTATTTATTAGACAATAGTTGTATTCATATATAATTTTTTAATACATTTCAGCTTTTTATATTAATTTTAATTATTCAATTAATTATCCATCGGTATCATATGTAAAGGAGTTAACTCCCTGTAAATACATATTTATAATATTTGATATATTTTATTTTTATCGTTATTGTTGTCCATTTTTTTTCTTTTTATGGATGAAAATTTTGTTTAGGCTTTATTATTTGAAGGTGGTGTTTTAAAAAGAAAAATCACGATTTTTTTGCATTTCAGCGATGCTGTGCCATCAATCATATCTGGCTGAGAAAGGTTGTTTGTTTCAATAAAAAAATACTTACTGTACTTATTTATATTTATAAAACTGTATAAAAATTAAAATATTCCTCCACCACTACTACTATTTATGTATTATTCGACTTTTTCAAATCTATTAAATAAATTTTGTTAGATATCCATTAATCGAATATTGATTTACCTGGTCAATCATAATCAAAAATCACTTAAATTCAGCTGCTATTTCTTGTACATTGTGGGGCTTAAATGATGTAATCACTGATTTAAATGCATCTTTTACGACTTCAGAACTTTTACCTGAAGGTGGAAGAGTTCATCATGGTTTCTATAACTCATTCACAAATTCATTGCCTAGCACGTGCGTGGAAAGTCCAATCAAAATTTGGCGGTTGAGATTGAAATTATTGCAGATGTAAATGGTGAACCAATTTCAAATTTAGATATTGAAAAACGCGTTAATGTCCAAGTGAAGTCTGTGCATCACAAGAACGATGACTCCTTTTTTTCTATTGTTGAGCCTGCTTACTAAAGTCTTGATAATTAACTGACTTCTCAAAGCATATTCAACAATGATTAGTATTGCTACGCGTATAGTGGTAATTAATATCGTAAATACTACGGTTAGCTCTGGTAATAATTAATTTTCTTCATAAAAACAACAATAACTAATAGTGTTTCGATTTATAATTGTAGTTAATTTTTTTTTGTAAAATTATAGAAGATAGAAGTTAGTAGTTAGTTAGAAATGCTTTAATGTAATTTTGCCTAAAATCTTCTCTTAATTATTAAAGTAAAAACTTATTTTTAATAATGTGGTTAGTAATGACCGAGTTATCGTCGTACGGAAACGCCCTCAAGGTCGGAGCCAGGTATGTTTGTTTACATCCACGGACGGGAACGGTGCTGGTGGAGTGGCTTGGGAATTTGTGGGAGAGGGGACTATTATCTGTTTGGCTGAGAAACGTCAACGCGTCAGTCGAGTGGTGCCCCCCTGAGTATAAGTACGGAGAAAACGTGTCGTTTGGTCAGTGATGAACAACTACTTGAAAATCGCCGTCAGGTGTTATTCTTCGGCGCGTGCTCCCGTCGGTGCCGTGCCTACCATCCACGAGCACATCTGGGCCTCCTTGGGCGAGCACGGAGGCAGGACGGCCATCTCGTGCCCCGAGAGCGGTAAGAGTCTGACTTACGGGAGGTTGAGGCAGTTGTCGGGCAACATAGCAGCATGGTTATACGCCAATACGCCCAAAGGCCGGCAGTTCGTGACTATTTTGCCAAATTCGATCGAAATGGCCATATCGGCGTTAGGGGCGTTTGAAGCCGGGGTGCCCCTATCACCACTCAACCCGCAGAGCACAGCGACGGAGATTGCCGGTATGTTCGCGAAGATCGACCCGAGATGGCTTGTCACCACCTCTTCGAAGATCCACGAAGTTTTGGAAGCGATGAAAGCTGCCAACAGGACGACGAAAGACACGGGTATCATCGCTATCGACGAAGAGATCATTTTCAACGGAGTACGTTTTCTGGACGAAACCGTTTTGCAATCCGGCAACGGTGAACGTTACGAAGACCAGCCAGCTCTGATGATGGTCGGCGCAGGGAGAGTCGAGGTCGTGAGCGCGAGTAACATCTTGGCCAACTGTCACCAAGTCTCCGGTCCCGAATTGAACCCCCTAGAACCGGGTGACAAAATCGCCGCTTCTTTACCGATGTTCCACAATTACGGGCTTACTCAGACCCTCCTGAGAGGATTAGCGAGCGGGGCGGAAGTCGTCACACTAAATAGTAGCAGCCCCTCCGATCTAGTCTCTTCACTGAACAAGAGCAAAGTCCGCGTTTTGCCGACGATATCGCCCATGATGGACGCCCTGGCCGGTCTCGGACGAGATGCTCTTAACGAAGTAAAATATATAACAGTCGGTGGTCGGCCCGACGTCGCCTCCAACAAGTTGAAATCCGTTTTCAACGGCGAACTCCTGCATAATTACGGTCCGATCGAAGGGCCGATTCTGTTCCAGCAGAGGCGAGGGGTCGCCGGCAGGCCTGGCAGCGTAGGGGAACCCTTGCCGAACACCGAAGCCAAGGTGCTAGCACCCGGGGGCGCCCAGCTCCCCGAGATGACAGAAGGAGAGATATGGGTCAAAGGGCCCCAGATCGGAAAAAGCTTAGAATGGATCCGGACCGGCGATCTGGGATACATGGACCTCGACGGCTGGTTTTACGTGACGGTCGAAGGGAACGTTTCCGTCGACGGGCTCAAAGTCGTCCCCTCGGAGCTCGAAGAGGTCCTCATCAAGCACAGCTCCGTCAGAGAGACAGTCGTTTTCCAGAGCGATGGCAAGTTAATCGCCGCCATCGTACCGACAGACTACTACAACCCGCCTCCTCTCAAGGAGCTCTCAAACCATCTCGAATCCCACCTGGCTCCTCACAAACGCATCTCCGACGTCGTCATAATGTCCTCTCTTCCCAAAAACGAAAGCGGCTACTTCGACAGGATCAACTTAGAACAAAACTACAACGCACGCCACCACGAATTTGTCGCCGTTCAATCCCTCTAACTCTTCGACAAAATTATTTGTATATAATGTAAAAAGAAAATATGTACATAACTAATTGCACTGAAGACTGATTTTAGTAGTCTAATCACACAATAGCATTATATTTTTTATATTCATAATAAAATGATATGATACATGAAGGTTGTTAATAACTTTCCCTCATGAACCTACAAACTTTCTTTCATTTCCAATGGAGTGATTTAATGAGAACAATAAACCCGTTTTTGGTCGTATCGATGATCTCGTATAATTTACAATTCTCGTTCACGCCACTATGGGGTTATTATTAGCAGAATGGATAAACCCCCTGCAATCATATTTGCATTGCAATACCACATTGGACGGGGGGTGTCTTCAGCAACGATCGAGTGCACGTGATACATGGCAAATATCTAAAATTGCTTAATTTCTCCAGGATCCGCTTAACATCTGCATAGATTGACCGAACCGTAGATCCTTTTCTTCATTATTAAAGGCATTCACGAAGTGAAAACAGTATGGCATTTTAACTGCCCTTAAAATCATAACAAATCCCGTATAGTGCAATGTGCGCTGTGATTTCTGTAAAAACCAACAAGACCAGTAAATTTTTGAGATTTCAACTTGCCGCAGTGTGATGACTTGTTTTTCTACGTTATGCCATCTTCACTGGTTCGTCAGGGATATACGCAGAGTGAGACAGAACAACAACCCACCACTAAATATGGCCAAACGCCGAGATGCGTCTAAATTTGTGCATCATTTACTTTTACACACATTTGATGCATTTTTTTCATTTGTTCTATTAAAAAGTAATAAACCTTGATTTATTCCATGCGAGATATCTCCTTGATGTCTGCAGTACGATGAAAGTGTATTTTCTCTTTTCGATCATCCTGATATTCTTTATCACACTTCTAACGTTAAAATTCACACTGCAGACCTCAAGTAGAATCCCCCAAAAAATTAACATCCTTGATATTCGGTCAGGGTTACAAGCAGGGAGAGGCAACTAGAGAAACCTAGCACTGAAGATAGTAAAATGACGAAAATGTAGTTAAAAGTTCAAGATGCATAGTTTGTAAGGTTTATTAAGGCTTTTTGGCATTTTTAATTTTTGGTCTGGGCCAAAAGCAGAGTGAGGCATTTACCTAAAACTAGGAATAAAGATCGCGAAAGGCCGAAACGCGCCTGACAGACCGGAACAGCAAGGATAGTCAGAAGAAAACGCTCGGAAACCACATTACTACATGTCCGCCTAAAGGAAATTTCAGAAGAAATAAATGCTTAAACCGAAAATAGCTTGAACCGGTTTTCTTGGAGATTTCCTATAGTATCAGGGTAATAAGCAGGGTGAGTCAACTAGACAAACTCTATATTAAAGATAGTACAGGTAGAGGCGTGGGTGGCCGTAACAGTTTAAGCATTGACGCGGCGCTCACCGCTGTAAGGTAAAGATACCGGGTTCGAATCCAGCTGCTGTGCATTCGAACCCGATATTTACAAATGGGCTTTTTTTTCAAAAACACCGACACCCCGGGGGTTGATATGACCTTTGGAGTTGCGAACCCCCTTAAAAAATAAATTTCACATTGAAACGGGTTTTAAATGTCTAATCTCGTCCTCATAAGCAGGTGATTTAAATCATTGGGATTTTCACACGCTTAATTGAGACCTGGCGTAATATTTTTGGCCCAGTTTTCCGGGGTAATTTGGCCTGTAAGGAAAATTCCAAATGAGTTTCCATTCCGACCGTTAATTCTAGCACAACAACACAATTCAAACCGGTAGAAGGTGAGAGCAAACAGTCAAGACCAATTAAAACAAATTCGAATATATTTTCACTAGACATTTATTTCAAATTAAACATCTTCCATCAAAAGCTAATCATTCTTCAGAAATCCAGTACATCAACGAAAACCTTCCCAAAAAGAATGCTCCAGGATATATCCTTATAACCTCTGAAATCCTTTAATCACTCTCTAAAAATCTTTTTCCAAACATAATTATGCAATGCTGTCCTAAGAACTAAGCACTTTTTTTTACAATGGACATTTTCCATTGTAAAAATTATCTCAATTATCTCTTAATTATCTAAACCTAACCTAACCACCATCCCATCGCCCGTTAATCCTCTTACCTATACTAGGAAAAATCCTCGAGAAGCTCCTTCTTTAAAGAATCCTTCCTATCCTAGAAGAACAAAAAACTTCACTTCGCCTATTTCCTTCACATTCCGATCTACGGACTGATTAAGACTGACTGACTGACTGACGTCTTCAGCCAGCCAGGGAACATCTTTAACAGACTACTATCTTGTTAGGGCAGGAGTCTCACGGGTTAGTATTCTTGGTCTCTTCCTTTATTCAACATGTACTATCCTTCCCGACAGATCCATTTACAATTTTGCTGATGATACTGCTATTCTATCATCCAATGAAGATCCCGTTCTCTCGCATAGCTCTTACATGCTTGCCTAATCAAGGTAGAACCTTGGCTGAAAAAATAAACGTAGACAAAAGCCAAAACTTAACTTTTACCTACATTATACACCTCTTCATAGAATTGATCATGTCCACTACCTCTGGTAGACAGATCCGAGATCCATGTCCATAGGAATCACCCAATCCACAATGTCCTTAAAATTCCTTTTGTGAAGGATATCCTAAAATTCCCACATAAAATTCCACAACTTTCTTTCATTCCACCTCAATCCCTTTTAAATCTAAGTTGAGCTATCCCAATAATCTCCCAAGGAGATTAAGCGGCAGTGGCATCGCGACACGTGGGGCAGTCATAGCACATAGACCCTACCACTAGGAGATTCTTCTTCACATTTCGTTTTAGTTTATTTACAAATTTGTACGCGCCAAAAATTTTACTTGTTATAAAGTTATAAATCCGAACTTAAGCTAAACTTCAAACATTTTTACTTTATTTGTAGTTCGGTGGTTTTCGGCATGGTCCGTACCAACAAACAGTAGTACAACACTTTCTTGACCAATTGGTTCATGTACGGAATCGCATTTTTTCCACAAAAAACAATCATGCAGAAAAATGGACTTATAATCATGACTTGGCACGAATCGGCAAAACAGAGCGGAGGGGGTCCCAGGCGCGCATTCCAGTCAAGGACAGTGTCGTTCCGCTTCGCACATTAAGTTTCAAGGTTAAAGTTTCAAGCCAATTTTAGCTCCACGCAGCAAAAATAAAATCAGGACATTTCTTGCTTTCTTGGAGGTGCAAGGGTCGAAAAACGAATTTGTTCTCATTCATATTGTACAATAATTATACCGAGTGGTAAATGCATAAATAATTTTATTAAAATTACAAATTTAATAGGTTTCTTACAAAGGGAACAAAGTAAAAATTGGATTACAACATAGATTTTTTTTTTAATTGTAAAACATTTTAACCGAATAGACAGAGAAACATTGCGAAACGAAGACAATTCAGTTTCGATATAGGAAAACAACGATAAACAAAGATAAGTACTGGTAACTGAAATAGCGATGAATAACGCATGTCTAGATGGCAGGTGATTCAGCATTGAGTGAATTATGATACTTTCTAGTGTGTGTTTTTAGTTTAGTTGTTTCCGATCATTTGGACCGACAATTATCGCTGTTTCGGCTCGCCAGATGAGTTTAGTCCTTCGCCCGTCTTCAGTGCTAGGTTTGACTAAGTGCTTCACCCTGCTTATAACCCAGGCCCGCTATTGAAGATAATGGTCACAGGTACAGATTAAAGTATCGGAACCTGTAGTTTGGCCGTTTCCGATCATCCTCCTAACCCTGAACCACTAATGAATATAATGGTCCAAGGATAGATGTTAAATTAATGGGCCTGTATTTCGGTCGTTTCTAATTATACTTATCTTTCCTCGCCGTTTCGTTTTTCCATTCTTCGTTTTGTATGTGCTCACTCTGCTTATCCCCTTAACCCGTTGAAGATAATGACTAATGCAATTTAGCGGTTTCCAATCATCCTGTTCTGTCTTCCCTCAATACTTTGGTCTATCAGATTTTGGTTATCGGTGTGTGTTAGTATCAGTGCCTCAATTTGCTTATATACCAGTCTTACTGTTGAAGATATTGCTTTGGATACAGATTGAAGAGTTATGGACGGATTAAGCATTCATTGCTATGGTCCGTCCGTTTGTTTCTTCTCGCCATCTTCAATGCATTTTCCATACCACGCTTACATGTACCTCGGCCCACTGTTGAAATAATGTTTCAAGGTTAAAGTTATGACGCTGTTTAAACATTTCTTTATTTGTAGGATTTCTACTTGAAGTTTTGGCTTTTTCCGGTCATCCTAAAAGGTCAGGGTTATAAAACCTACACAAAATCACGACTAAGATGACATAATGCTGAAACAAGTCTGATAAATCAAAATTGTGAATATAAAACATCACAAATTCATTATTATCAAATTGAAAACCTCAAGAAGACGTCTCACAAGCTATCAATTGTAGTATGCTTCACCCAGCTTATACCTATGACCTTGAATTGATTATAATTCTTCCAGGACAAGTAATGGACGGTTGAAATGTTTATTTTTTATAGGATTTTTTCTTGAGGTCAGGAATGGGATGAAAGTATATTGTGGGCGTTTCCGATCATCCCAATGTATTAGGATTATAAGCAGGGAGAGGCACCGAGGCAAGACCACGACTGACGATTGCAAAATGCTGAAACAACTAACTGCATACATAATAAAAGTTCTAAAAAAGTTGAACAAACAAAGAGTGATTTTGTAAAATCAATTGATCGTTGATTTTAAATGCATATCGGAATTTGGATCTTCAAAGGTGCGTTTGTTGTCTTCTCTCACCCTGCATAAATCCCTGTCAAACCACTGAAGATGGCGAGACAGATAAGAGAACGGAAGTACAGGTTCATCACACCGTAGACCTCAAGGAGAAGCACCATTACTTTTGATCATTTTAACTTGTTTATAAAATAAGTATTTTAAAAAATTATCTTTTCGTTCGATTCCTTTTTAGATACAGATTTTTTTTTAAATTTTATGAAGTAACAACTTTCTCTTCCGTCAATACTAAGGTCTTTAATCCGGCCGACCTTCGTCTACCAGTTCTTTTCT